GCTTGTTAGTAGGAAATAATTGCCTGATTTACCAGGGAACTGCCTCAACTCCTGCGCAGCTTTGGTCTGAGGCCTTTACCTTCTAAGATGCAATGCTCAGTGTAGAAGCAAGATAACAGCTAGGTAATTTTTCTTACCACTACACAATAGAACTTCAGTGGGTTAGCTTGAATTGTCATTTTAAAACTATGGAACTACTGAACTACATCTCAACATGAATGCTATTATTTAAATTTTAATTTAAATTGGGATTGCTTCGGTTTAGCTGAATGTGCTGAATTGAGTTGGCGTAACATAAACAAACAAACTGATTTTCCAAGGGCACAGGGAGTTTTAGTGATGTAGACTACAGGAATCTGTGACAAAAACTGCTACAGACTGTCTTCATCCTAACACCATAAATGACACATGACTGGATTCTCACATTCTGTGTTCTGTTTTCCTTGCATCATGATACATCTACAGCATCTTCATGCAGACAGCTCACAGTTAAATCCATTATACTTTCCCAGAAAATGGGAGGGTGTTGGACTGGTTGAGATTCCATCTGAGTTATTCTGTGCCTCTACTTCTTCTAGTGAATCAAACCAAATACTAAGATATCTAATAAAATATTGCCTTGTATCACGAATGATACTAAAGGTTTAACATTCAATCTCCTAGAACACTGTCTGAATACACTGAATAATTAGCACACTGCAATATCCGGGACACAAAGTGGTGTGATATGCAGTAAATCTTTTTATTATTCTATTGTATCCACAGGAGGAATGAATTTTAGGTGTTTTTGTATAAACAAATGCACATGTAGACCAAATAATACCAAATTTATACATGAAATTATCAGTCAAGTTTTCATATGATTAATTCTAATTATAGTTGAAGAATGATCAAACAAGTACCTGAGCAATTTTTTTATTTTTACTGCCATTGATACAGGTGTGATGATCTAGATGTATATTTTTTATAGACATGCTAATAGTTTTGTGGGAAAAAACAGACACATTTGAGGTTTTTTGGGGTCTGAAACAGAAGCATCAAACTTCAACTAAATATCAGATAACTTTAAATATGTTAACCAATTAGATCATTAGAGATTATCTAATTCACACCTGTGGAGCAATGAGGGCATAGTGAAAATTGAGAAGTGAGAGAAAGAGTAATATACCATAAATGTGATCTCTGTGGTCTGTGGTGGCCTTCAGAGGCTCTAAATGGAAAGACTGTTTTCAGCTGCAGCTTAAACCTAACAGAAGCATTTATTTGTTACAGTATTAGATTAAGCCTTGACCTGATGAAATAGCATAAAGAATAAAATGGTGCTTTTTTTGGAAAGCTCCTGATCAGACTGAACTATACATTTTTGATATTTTTGATATTTTGGTAATTTTGTGGGGTGGGAAGCATGAAACTGAATAAAAAGCAAAAAGTAGAACTTGCAGCTAGAAATCTCAGCCAGGGGAGCTCCTGCAGTCCCACCTCAGTTTTGACCCTGCCCAAAATTTCCCTTCAAGGTCTGTACCTGGAAGAGCCATTTGGAATACTCTTGACTGGAAAACAAACCAAGGAGTTCTAACCAAAATTATATATCTTGCCTGAACTTTCTTCTTTTGTTCTGGCTTTATTGCTTTCTTTTTTCCTCATCCTTAATTTAAGATCACATTCAGCTATTTTTGTGAGTGTGTTTATACGTATTCTATTATTTTTTTGGTTTTATTACAGTGTTAAGTGTTTCTTAGGCACAATATTGAACTTTACTGATCTTTCAAAGTTTTATTTCATAAGTTTGGGGTTTTTTCAAAGGATGGAAATTCCTATTTTTTCCAAATCTATTGCCCACAAAAAGTACTGAGCAAGTCCAACAGAAATATGATTCAGTGTGAGGGTCACTAAAATATATCTCTAAGCAGAGGAGAAGGTGCTGGATTACTCAAATTGCCTTACCAGCATAATTCCAAAGTGTCAGAGGAAAAAAAATCCTCTTCTTTGCTCATAACAAAATTTTGGCTGTACTCTTGTGTAGCTATGTTATTTCTTCTGTTACTGTCCCCTTTTGGCATAACTTCTGGGATAGACAATTGTTCACTGTGTGAAAGTTGTTCATTCATTTCTTTCAGAAGCCACTGGACAAGAGTCAGCAGGTAACAACTCACTGACCTAAAGACCTACCCATGCTCAGATAAATGAGCTGAATGTGAAAGGCTAAAAATCCCATTACCAGACCTTGAGCCACCTTGTCCTTAAACAATTTTGCAATATTTCTAAGGAAGAAATAAATACAAGTTGTGGATTAAGGGACAAATCAGATAAACCAGCAGTGACCCATTCTTATGAAATAAAAGTTTTCTTGTGTTTTTGCTTAGCTGTACTCTTGATGCAATAAAATGATAGTCTTAAAAGATGCATGTGTCCTGAATGAAATCAAGGCAGAGATTGAGGCCATAAACTTTATTTTATTATCTTGGCAATGATGTCTATCCTAAATTGTTAATATTCTTTTAAAATTCTTCATACAGTGAAGAACAGGAGAACTTGTTCAGGTGACTACAACCAAATTTCTTTGAGAGATGATCTCACCTTTAGCAAGTCTGCACTTTGTTCGCTGTTTCTAAAATTAGCCAAAGTATATTTTCCAACAAGGTCTGGAAACTATAGCTTAATATAAGATCTACATCTCTCAGGGTTCAGGACTCTTGGCTATACATCACTTGAAAATTCTTATGGAGATTCTCCTTCAAACTGCACCCACAAGCCAGTTTTTAAGGTCATTAAAAGTGAGGGAAGACAATCCCTCTGTGCACCTAGGAGAATTAGCCTCCAGAGTCATGTTATTTATTAGTTGCTTGGTGTTGGGAGTAACCTGTATTTCTGTCTTCTGCTGAGATCCAATGGTTTGTGTACAAACCCTGAATTCACCTGAGCCCATTGGAATTCAGGCCACCTGCAAACCATTCCTCCCCTGTGCTATCAGGGTCTTTCTAAAAGGAGGATCTCAAGCTGGCTTTTAGCTGTCTGATGTTGCTGCTGCAGAAGCAGAATGGATGGATAAAAGCTGCCAGAGCAAGTGCTGAGAGTGCCTTTTCAATTAAGGGATGAGAACAGGCAAGAACCTTGGCTGTGATCTCAGCCCTGCAGCTTCTTACACTGAAATGAGTCACTGGAGCAAACTGAGTATATTTATAAATATATAACTGGGTGAAGTTCTGCTGAAAATATATTATGTAGCTGTTCTGGTGAAAGAGGAAAACAATACCAATTTATTTAGCTGGCAGATTATTATCCTTTCTAATAATTAATTCAAGCACTGATTATGAAACAAACAAAACAGGAAAAAAGTTTATCTTCTGAAAATGGCTATAATGAGATCTTTTCAAGGGTTTTTTTTTGGTTAGCTGAAATCACTTGGCTGAATGCACCATGAATTGAATAATCCTGCTGATTAACCTAAAATTTAATTAACTAAAGAAGAAAAAATATCATTTTGCTCTCTCAAATATTTAAATTCCTCATTATGTGACTAAATATTTTTTTAAATACTATGTTTTTTTTGAAACCCTCTTTTTGCATTTTGTGGAGCCTGGCTTTTAAAGTATTCAGTCCCCTAATTCAATTGCACTGGTTTCAATAGGATTTAAATCTCTAGGCACTTCTAAAAACCCCACTAGGCTCTTCTTCATCTTTAAGCACCTAACTACCTCTAAAAGTCTGGCCCTTGATAATTTTAGAAAATGGTCCTTTCTATCATGCAGAGTTTCCTGCTAGCAAACTGGAAAAGTAATTAGCATATAGATTCATCCCTCAGACGGTAGACTGGGTTAAACTGGCTTTTTCTACCTTTTAATAACCATTGGAAAACAACAAGGAATTAATTGGTTTGGAAATGTGAACTGATGGAAAAATTCAAGCTACAGAAAAGTTATTAACTATGCAACACTGAGAGTCCTTAAAACCATCAGTTAATGAAACAAAGAAAAGAATACATTGAGTGAGAATTGATTTAGAAGTGAAGAAGACAGATGAAAAAGGAATTGCACTATAGTACAATGAAGAAAATATTTCTCTCCTGGAGGCTGCAGCGGCCACTGCTGTGGCTGTAATAAAGTGAGAATAGCGGTCCAGGGAGCATCTCTGAGATGAAAAGAGCCCTGTGGTTCTGTGATGCTCCAGCATGTTCCCAGATCAGGGCAGCCTCCCCAGGATTTAGCACAGCCCAGCCAGCACAGAGCAGGATGCTCTGGCAGATGACAGTGAAAAGTCTCTCCTGGCACCTTGTCTGATCCTATCCAGCCATGCAACACCCCTCAATGCCCCTCCAACCATTTAGGGGTTCCAGAAAGCAAGGGGAGAAAAACTTTCCCACATAGGTGTGGGGTGCCCCACTAGTGAGACAAGATGTGTCTTTGAAATCTGTGGGTGAAAAATGCTGTGTAAGAATGAGGATTTTTTTTATTATTATTATATAATCCTCAAGGGCAGAATTTGAAATGGCTGCTAGGAAGTGTTGCCTATTCCCAGTTTACATGAGATATCTTTAATCATATTCTAGTCAGAGAAAGAAATGACTGCAAGAGGAATTATAAAACCTCTTCCTTGCTTTCATCTTTGCTTTTCCACTCAACCTCACATGAGAGTGAGCAGAATCTGCAGCCAGACTCTTGACTGACCAGGATTGTTCTAACACAAGGGAATAATTATAAAAGATACATTTTTATTGCAAATACCCTCAGGTTAATTTTTTTTTTTTATTTGAACAGAACCCTGCTCTCACAGTATAAAGTAAATATTTTCATGGTTGTGTGCAGGGAAAAAAAAAATATTTTTTTGGCTTAGTTGTGTTCATAATCTAATAAGGTTATTGAAAGAAACAGTAGGAAAAACTCTTTGTGGAAGTACGATATTTTAAGTGCTGGAGCACTTAAACTTTCATGTAAATAGAAATTAATATAATACTGAATAAAGCACAATGCTTTATACAAATGTAATTCTGGTTTGTTTTCCAGAGTTTCTCAGGCTCTTGTGGAACTAAGGCTGAGGCAAACTGAGAGTGCATCACTCCACAAAGTACAGCATAGCATGTGTGTGCCAGCATCACCTTAATGAACTTCATTGCCACGCTGTGCCACAAAGCCCAGGAAAATGTAGTCACTTTGGCTTGCCCATGAATGCCATCCATGTGTGTGAATGGAATTTCCCTACTCTAAGGTGCAAGAGCTGAACAGAAGAGAACAGAATGATATTGGGTTGAATGTCTACATTCTCCTCTCAGACCTGCATGAAAAAGGGACAAAACCTTTTACAGAGGTAAGAATTTTTTAGCTTTTCAGTCTGGACTAAGTCCAGTTTGAGCTCACTGGTGCCTGGAGGGTGTGACCCCTGCAGTGCTTTTACCACACAAGCTTCATCTAAAAAAGAACCTGTTTGAGCCCTCAGAGTTTACTCTGTGTTGTGAACTAAGGTGTGGTAAATAACTATGATTAGAAAACTTACTTTTAAAGTTCCTAGATCTAACTAAAATGCTAATACAGACTTACCCCACCCATGGCCTGTGGGAAGTATTGCAATAAAGGAGTTGGATTTCAATGATCCTTGTGGATCCCTTCCAGCCCAGGGTATTCCATGATTCTATGAAATGTGAGCTACTGCCCTTATGGAAATGTAATTTCCTGTACTGTAAGGTGGTACCTGATACATTCAGGCAGAGGAGCACAAACTCCCAAATTTCTATGAGTTAAGAGAACCAGAAGGTGAACCCAAATGAGTTTGAAACTGATAAAAAGTATTTGTCAGTAAGATCAGCTCCTTATTTAGTTTGAACTCATCTTCCAAATGGACAGAGATGCATTTCTGAAATCCTTAATGAGCCCTGAGTACTTGCTCATATTCTGCATGAAAGAGCCAAAGGCAGCATTTCAGTAGTACTGCAAAGCTTTGCTGTGCTAAGTCTCTGCTTGGGCCTACCTAAACTGAATAAAATTCTTCAATGTGAGCCAAATACCACTGATTTTGAGTTACTTTAGAGAAGGAGAGATTTGGGCTTTTATTTCTGAAAGTTTTTCCTGGCCTACATTTTAAAATGTAGTGGTTTATTTTGAGGATGTCAGTGCTGCTGAAAGAAATGTTTGCATAACTTCAGTCCTTATGAAAGCTGACAAAGTAACCATCTTTGCTTATCAACCAGAGCAAAAATAGTTGGGATGATAAAAAGAGACTTTACAGGGAGGTCCATTGGAGTCCTGTGTATCCCAATTGTGGCACTTCCCTTTCTGCCTCATGACAGCAAGGCCCCAGTCCAGTGAAGCACTTAAGGCTGAGTAGGGTCCTGGATGCCATGGGCACTGCTCACAGTGTGTAAAACTTGGCACACACCTGTGTTTTGTTGGCTTAGCAATATGAACATGAAATAACTGTATTCAAATTCACTATGTTCAGGTCTCAGCTCTGTATTGATCTGGATTCTGAAGACTCCACTGAAGTAACTTTTAAGGTTTGTTTTTTTTATTTTTTATATAAACACAAAATGAATTTGATATAGTTGCCCCTTTCACTCAGAGATTTGAAAATACTTTAAAAATATGAATGTATTGATCTTTCACTATAGGAAGAGTGAGTAGTAGCAACTCATAAAACAGATGAGGAATCTGAAAACAGATGAGTGGAGAAGAGAAATCTAACAACAACTGAATGGAATTGGAAAATGAATTTTTCTTGATTGTATTCCCATCTGCTTTGGGTTCAGTTTCATTAACTTTCTTGGAAGGGAACTTCTGTGAGGAAAGTATATGAAAACTGTTTTAGTAGAAACTCAGAACAGTTGCAGAATTTTTATTTTGATTTTGTAATCTGGCTTTCTTTTTATGAACTTTTTCTTTACATATGCACACACATATTCTTTACATTCCTCTTTACCTACTCGAAAAATCTATAGTTACTTGTATTGCATAGCCAGATTAAAAGCTTCTAAACAAAACTGAGCATAAAAATTTCACAGAAATAAATTCAAATATATTGTGTTCTTTTCTTACCTAGCACAGAAGTATAGAGAAGCCAAGGGCTGTATGTGCATGGCTCATTTTTCATTTATTATCTTTATTGCTACTGAATTTTGAATTTAGAGAAGGAAACTGTGAGGGAATCATAAGAAAAATCTTCAATAAGGATTAGTGCAGGATAGATATGGGATTTTTGGTCATGAATAATATAAAGATATGCCTTTTTTTTTAGAGCAGAAAATGATTGAAATATCATTTGTACATATGTTAACTTGTGGAATTATGCTTATGGGCAATATTAGAATGACATAACAATGACTGCCAGACCCACTGGTTGTATTTGGAAAGAAATGCTTCAGCCCCTTGAAATAGGAAGAACAACAATAATGCTCACCATTAAGCATTGGGCTTTGGAAAGAAGATTCTCTCATAAACAAGTTATTGCATAATTCTCTGTTATGGGAGTTTCACACCTTCCTCTGAAACATCTGGTGTTGGAATGCAATAAAACACTAAATGAATTTCTGACCTGATGTGGCATGACAATCAATAAAATTCTTTTATTAGCTAGCTCTAGTTTTAAGAACTTGTCATAGTAACAGCACACTGCTTTGCAGAATGCTAACTTGTGATCAAACATTCAATTTGTTTTGAAAACTAAATCTTTCCTGCCTTATTGCACATTTCCTCAAGTCTGGAGAGGTTAGCCCAGCATGCCTCACCATCTACCACTAGAGAAAACAGGCTCTTGGGGTCGGTTGTTTAACACCTAATGAATGCTAGGTAGGAAACTGTAGTGGTACAAAGCAGCTGGGATTCAACCAAAATTGATTTAGACCAATTAGTCAGCCTTTGGTTCATGTACAAAATCTTCAGCCATGTCTCTTTTCCCTAAACAATGTTCCACTCAGTGTCCTTTCTGCCACCCTACAGTCCCACAGTCCTTTCTGGTATATATGTCAAAATACAGTAATTCCTGACCTTCTGATATTCCACTAAATTCAGGGTGGGAATGCAGTGTGCATCAGGATACAAAGTCAAAGGTACAACCCCTGTATCAGGCATGCATGTGATATATGCCAGATGATGCCTGGATTTTTGGTGTAGGACACAGTGCAGAAGGTTTGCAGCTCCTTGAGGTGCTTTGTGCCCCCACCCTACCAGAATTGCTGGAACCCCTCTGGTGTGGCTGGGCTCAAGGGAGGTTGATGCTGCTGGAGAAAAAGCCAGGGCATCCTGGAATGACCTCGTGGGTCTGTGGAGTAGTTCACAGTGGGAATTCCAGGAAATTTTCACAAGCACAGGATCACAGCAAGGATAAAGTCAAGCAAATGCTACCTCATCATTTCAGTGAGATGAAAATGAAACCCCTCCTGAGTGCTTGGGAATGCCCAACTCTGAAATGATGTCTCCGGTGAGAAACCCTGAGAGGGCCAACGCTGTGAACCCTCCCACACTCCTTGCAAATGAAGCCATGCTGTAAAGCAATGCATTTTGATAGCGTGGCTCACATTTCTCAGAGCAGCCTGAATGAGGTTTCCCAACAAGAACAGCAAAATGTTAAAATGATATCTCTGTGGGTTTGCATTAAAAACACGTCTTCAGGTGCACCAAGAGTGTTGAATCAAATGTAAATGTCTATATGAGTAAAGGAAACATGCTTATGCACCAGGAGGGAGGGTTTGTTTTGTGCTGGGTAGCACAAAAATCCAACATGATTTTAACAGCCATATTTTCATGCAAAGGGACCAGTGGCCAGTCATTAATTCCAAACTTTATGCACCGCCTCTGAAGTCATCTTCATATAGAATGATATTTAACTTGTCATTAATTAGTAAATTGCTAATTTGTGAAATTAGTAAACTATGTGGGAAAGCCAGCGAACTCTCTTGGCTGAATTGACCAGCACAAAGATTATTCTTCTGTAAATGAGCTGAAATTCATACTGCTTGAAATTTCCATGAAAATAGAATTGCCTTTTGTAGCTTTTATTTTAAAATAAGAATAAAATTATGCCAAAAGACAGCAAATAAAAGAGGTGAAAAATCCTACCTAAAAGACATAGGCAGGAAAATCCCAATTTATATGTCCATCCCAGTAAGCTAAAAAGACATTTCTTGAAGGAACTCTTTGAAACCTGAATTTATTTGGGACTACTTAGAAAATACTACTAAGTGTAAATCTGTTTTCATTGCGTCTCCTGGAAGTCAGGGTAGATTTTTTTGTATGAAATCTTTTCCCCTTTGAAAGTCAATGACTGGGGAGAGGAGCAGTGGGGAGGGGGAGGCTTGGCAGACTGCCACCATCCTCTTTCATTATTTCATATGTTACACGTCCCATCTAAATCTGCATTTGCTTGGTTCGCCACCCTGTATGTCGATGCAGGAATGATTGTTATTTTATAGTTATAAATAATAAATGTGCATTCAGAGACATTTCAAATATTTAGCTATCTCGAATTCTCACTTTTGCATACTTTCCCCTCCCTATACTCACCCCCTGCCTTCATGTCTGCTACCCAGTCAAAATAAAAGTCTCCCCCCTCTCTATCTCCCATTGTTTTTTCCATGGTTGATTGAATGGTGTGCTAGGTTCAGTGAACTTGGCTACTGCTCCACCCAGAAACAACCTTCTCTTCTATACCAATTATCATATGAAAGCTACTAATGTCGTTTTACTGCAGCTCTGCTTCATGTTTCAGAATTGAAAGTGGCATCGTGCAGCCCACATTTGCCCAGTTGCAAGGAATAACCCTTCTCCCTCCCTTTTGCCCTCTATTTCACTGTAAATATTGGCTCCTTCTTTTATTTGCTACATCAGTGTCTTCAATAAATAATTGCTACTTCAGATATGAAAACAACTTTCAATCTGGGATGCTGGTGCTGTTAGAGATGTTATTGGATCGTGTGGAACTTATCCTCTGAGGATGAATTGGTTATTGCAGACAATGGAGGGAGCTGGTCTCTTGGAACTTCAGAATGATGGAAATCTCTTCAAACAGAGTTTCAAATAGAAAATTTTAAATTTCAGCACCACCACAACAGTAAAGGAGAGAGTGTAACATGGTATAAATTTTAAATGTTGTTGACTGATATCACTAACTAGTGATCTGTCCTTAAACCTGGTTATGCATAAACGTGAAATGTCTTTATACTTTGAATATATGCATGAACATGGATGAATATGCTGTTGGTATTTTGAGAGGTTATTATCAACAGAATTTAATTTGTCCTTTACAATAGTGTCTGAGTGTCAAGAGAGATTCTTTGTTGTCCTTACAAGTCTAATTGCCCCACAGCATAGGTATAAAATCTCACTCTCTGCCACCACCAAATGCAATTTGAATACATATTAAAGAGTAAACCAGTTTTCTGATGTTGAAACAATAGCTTCACAGGAACAGGTATTAATTTTAAATTCTGAAAAATATTTGTCCATGTCTTTTTCTTGGATTTACTCAGAAGATACAATATATATCACAACTTTCAATGTTCTTATTTTTATCATGTTTAGTCTAAAAATTCTTCACAAGAAACTACAAATGTTAATAGCTGGTATTATGAATCTTAGTAGCAGGAAATGCAACATGACTGCCTTTACTGGGGCTGTGAGGGAGAGGACACTTCACTTCCGAAAGGAAATACTGGGTTTTCATTATTTATATGTTTGTTGTTACCACAAAAATGGACCCAAGTGTTTTGAAAGGATTATAAATATGGTTGCAATTTGGCACTGGAGCTGGTTGCAGCCGCTGTGTGTTTGTGTCCCTGCTCGTATGTGGAATTTGGCCAATTCTAACTCTGAGTTGGTCACAAGCAGCCAAATGGCTTTCAGTTTTCTTTTGTTGTAGCTGCATTCCCTACAGGGCAAGAAACCTTTCAGGCTTTATTTCAAGGTACAATATGCTCCTCTGAGAAGATAAATTATTGAAATGTGGTGTCTGCTTGTGAAAATTCCAGCTTTGCAAAGTTATGCTCATTTGGACTCCAAGAAATAACTGTTCTATCCTTCCAGGTCTCGGTTAAGCCAAGACACATGCTAATTTGCTTTTAACTTTGAAGTTCTGATGGTCTTAAGGAAATCTGTGTTTAAAAGAGAAATGGAATCTGCTTCACTGTGAAGGAGTCAACGTGTCTGGTGTGGTTAATCTGGAAAGCACTTCTTCACTAGCAATCAGAGCAGAGTGATTAGGTGTGAGAGCCCATCTAGTATTTGGGTCTATGCATCATCACTGATAATTTTAAATATTATGAGACAGTTGGAATAGGCAAACCATCTATTGCTTACCACAGAACTGCATCTTTTACTGCTTGTCTGCCTAAAGACCTGAGGGGTGACAGGCTCACTCACGAGAGGGGTGGGGTGGGCCCTCCCCCATTGCCAGCTGAGCGCTGCCCAGTCCTGCTGGGGTCAGGCAGAGTGGAGTTACAAAGCCAAACAGGTTCCTAAGACAGAAAATAAAAGTGCCAGACTATCCTGAGGCCCTGCTGGAGCC